GGATGGAGATGCCACCCCCTCTCTGGGCAGCCCCTTCCAGCGCTTCCCCCCTCCTCCTGGGAGCTTTTCCTAATATCCAACCTCAACTCCCCTTGCTGCAGCTTGAGCCCATTGCTCCTTGTCCTGCCGTCTGCCCCCACCGAGACCAGTGCAGCTCCACGCTCTGACCAGCCAGGCCTGCTGGGTTCCTGTGCCCCCAGGCCCTGGCACAGAGGGGGGTGGCAGGGGCATGGGGCACTAGGACTGCCCCCCCTCCCATCCTAGTGGGACTGGGCAGTGGAGTGTGTTGCAGCAACCTGGGGGGGGGCTCCGAGTTGTGCCCCAGACTGTCACAGGCCCAGATCCCTGGACCGTGGGGGCGGGGGTATCAAGTGCACCCCCCTTGCCAAATGCAATGTGACCAGGGCCACATTCCCAGCCATGTTTAACCCTTTGAGGAAAGCAAGGCTCTGAGTCTGTTTTAAGGGCCCTGGGGACCCTCGATTGGGCTGGCAGCGTCGCTGGCTTTGGTTCCCGGCTGCAAAATAAGCAGCCCAGAGCTGCTGATATGGAGCAGGGGCTGCCAGCTGGCCAGCTCGGGCTGGGAGTCAGCACTATGGGATGGTTCAAGCTCCTCCGCAGGGAAGAGATGCCTCTTGGTGGCTGTTGGCAGATGCAGAGCCCGTGGGGGTGGACACAAGGTTGCGGGGGGGGACCAGCACATACAGATCACGGCATCCCTGTGTGGACCGGGGGTGCCTGGAGCTGCAGCTTCTGGGTAGCACTCGGGATGCTGAGCCAAAACCACCTGCCTGAGACTGTACGGCCGCTGTGTGGCCCAGCTGTGGGTAGCTGAGCCCTGTGGAAGAGGGTAGCAGCCTACTATTGCTGCAGGCCACTGGAGTTTGCTTGTTAGCTGAAGTGGTGGAGGCTTAGGCTGAAGGTTACCAGTCCCATCCCTGCTCGTGACCCCAGCCGGCGGCTGCTAGGGATGTCCGGGAGTAGAAGGTGGAGTCTTTGCTAAGCTGCCTCCAGCGCAATTAGCAGGTGCCCGCAGGGCCAAGACGTCCCCAGAGAGTTGGCGGCTGCTCCCTTGACCCTGAGCTCTCCCACTCGGGCAGTGTCCTGGGGTGAGACGCTGCAGCGGCCCAGGCCTCAGCAGCTCTCGGGAAGGTCACATTGTCCCCACAAAGGGTCTTGCAGTGCGTCGTACCCCGACATAGACCCAGCACTTGTGAGGCAGAGCGGCCCCGGGGGAGCAGCAGTCGCCCACGAGCGCAGGCCACGTGCGCGGTGATGCAGAGAGCAGGGCACGTCTCCATCAGGCTCCCGGGGGTTTCAGGCACAGAGCTGGGTGCAATAATAAAGGGACTCCGCTTGCATTGCAAGAACGTGTCTCTTTATTAGAAGAACCTGTGCAAGTTGTTCCTGCTG